TTGTCGCGGCTGAGAACTACCTGAAAATCAGCAGAAAATTTAAGCCGAAAGTTTAAAAATTATCATCCTAATATATTCACTGCATACGTATGATACCAGACGTCATGTTTGTCGCAGTAGGGTAAAAAACAAGGAGATTGATTACACAAGTGTGTATCGTATTGCTCACGTATTTTTGTTAGGCAGTTTAGATTTCACCAGTCACACCTTAATGACTACCACGAAGGCAATAGTATGACATGCATAAAAATAGCAGTGACAGGCGTGGCAACGCAGTTTAATTTTTATTGAGTCGATAGGGAACTTTCTACAGTGGTATGGCTCTGTGTTCTGCTATAATCATGCAAGGGATTATGCAAGTAGAGACCATTCCATCTGATGCGTCCCCTTCATGGATACAGTTCTTCTTTGTTCAACTTAAAACGTACCGAACGCTACATATGGCGTTTCTCTTAAAAATCAAGGCTTATTGTGAAATACCTAAATTCTTAAACAGTTTGTTCCTATTGCTGTCGTTATCTACCTTTTCTACTATGGCATATTTTTGTTTTAGATCAAAGCGAAATGCTTGGAGAACGTGGAAAAGGTTAGTGCATCATTTTTAAGGTTTCAGAGCGTTTTTATAAGAGAATTCAGTTAGCTGAATTTTTTTTCATTTTCATCAAGGATTAAGTTCATATTATTTTCAAATTGCCATCGACGTGTTCATTAGCATTATACAATCTCTCGGAAAGCTTCAGGGACATGAAAATGCATTTTGAAGCAAGTGCTAGTAGGCAGGCTGCCAGGAAGAGGACTGGGCGCTGCTGTAGCATTTAAAATATGGCGTGTAGTTATTCACTGTTTAATATGTAGTATATTGGTAAAGCATTCAGTAGAAGTCAAGAAAGGTGATTTAACCGTTAGGTAAATTGAGTCTATTTAATCAATTAAGCACGCTCTATTTTCCTGATCTGGGCATTAAGAATCTACAAAGATGTTCATGGAAGGTTATTTGTTGTCAGTGGGAGCAGTTAATGCGGTTGTTAAATTAAAAGCACGTAAATATCTAAAAGCATAATAATGTAAGTATAAATAGTATTTATTTAATATTTAATAGATTGCCCACGTTATATTAAACGTTGAACAGATCGAAGGAATGAGAATTACATTTGCCTGAACAAAGGGATCAACTTGCAGAATGATCAGTTTTTCGAGGTTCAACTCAGATAAGTGCCAGGTTGGCGCGCGTTCCATTTCATCGAGGACGTCTTCTACTGATAAATCCGTGTCCGCCTTTTCAGTTCTTCCGTCCTGTTACCACTGTTGCTTGGCTGTGGAATGTGGTCACTTTCTAAAGTTGAAGAGCACCAGCTGTCTGTGACCAAGAGAGCAATATTGAGTGAAGGACGTTTATAATTTCACGTCCCAACCACATGCCAAACACGGTGGTCAGAGTACCTA